AAGGAACGAATATCTATATACGCTAAGTTTTGCTGACGACCAAATAGTGATCGCACAAGACGAGGATGATCTCAGTTTTATGATGAGAAAACTGGAGCAGGAATATACAAAGAATAGGATGGAAATAAACCTAAAGAAAACTGAATACCTAACAACGGAGAATACAGAAATAAAACAGCTGGAAATAGACGAAGGTAAACAAATCAAAGGTACAGACAAGTATAAGTATTTAGGTTTCATAATATCAAACAAAGGAACAACGGAGGAAGATATAAAAAATAGACTAGGACAAACAGGAGACTGCATACGAAAATTGAACCCGGTACTATGGGATAAGAACATCAGCATGAAAACAAAGAAAAAAATATATAATAACATGACAAGAAGTATCCTCACTTATTGGATGGACACTTAAAATTGGACAATAAATAAGAAAACCAAAAACAAAATAAGAGCAACAGAGATGGAATTCCTAAGGAGAAGCTGCAGAGAGTAACAAGAAGAGATAGAATAAATAACATGGAGATTAAGAGGAGAATGGGAATGAACTCCGACATAATAGACTACATCGAACAGAAGAGGTTAACATGGTACGAACATGTCAGAAGAGCAGACCAAAATCGGTGGATAAATAGAATAACAGAGTGGAGCCCGATAGGAAGAAGAAGGAGAGGCAGACCCCGAAGATCTTTCAGAGATGAAGTGGACGAAGCAATGAGAAGAAAAAACCTACAGAAAGGGGACTGGCTAAACAGGAAAAATTGGAGAAAACGGTTGAGTGAAGGAATACAGTGAAAACTGTGGAAATCCTTGTATATATAAAAACAATTTTAAAAATAAATAAATGTTACCAGTTAAATTATATTCTGTTAATTTTCTGATATATAGAGATCTTCGTACAGTGTCAAAAGGTACTTTGGATATCTAAAGTTATTGCTACGACTTCTATTCGAAAATGCATTAACAATGTATAGTGTGACCAAGTTATCCATTGTACTTCGATTTGATCTGAAGCCTACTTTGAAATGGGTCAAGAATATTATTTCTTCCTATATACTATAGTAAGCGTTTATCTTTTCTAATAGTTTAGATAGTGAAGAAGTGAGAGAAATTGGTCTATATGATTTTAGAAGATTTGGAGATGAGTCATTCTTTTTGATAGGAATTGTAGTTGCTTGTCGCCATAACGTTGGGAACTGTTTCGGGGATATCGTCTGCACTGGCTGTAGAGTTTTTTAATGAAGAGATTTCTTCGTTTAGTTCTAGATGCTTAAAAGGAAGATTAATAGAACTAGTGTAAGAAAATATTTTAGGCCTGGATATGTTGGTATCTGAGTTATTGGGAAGATTCGGCATATTTGATTTATCTGAAAAGTAGGAGACAAAGATATCTACAATATGTTGATCATCGGTAACTGTTAGATCCTGCAGGGAGATGGCGGCAATTTTGCTGGATACGTCTTATCTTTGACCACATTTGCGTGGGTGAAGTGTCTTTTCTGATTGAACTAACGTACTGATTAGATCCGAAACCACTTGTTTAAAAGCGAAAAAGTGAATTAAATTGAAGCATTACAAAATGTGAATAAGTAAATTTTTAATATACCTACAATGTTTTTTAATAAATAATATTGTAATATTACTTCACGTATAATTTGGCAGGTGGATTTTCCTGTTGATCTAATAGAACTTCCGTTAGTTGTTTTTATATAAGTATTAGATTAAACTCGGATCTTATGAAAGTAAATTACAAAATTTTATATATGTGCTTTATCCGATACTATCGAAGCATGTCATGCTAAAACGCCTCGAGAGTCTCGTGTTTTCCATAAATGCATCTCGGCTGCCAACTCGACTGTCACTTTACAAAAGCAAACGACGACCGAAAACAAGCGAAACTCGAACCCATATGCAAAACAGCTGCCTGCCTATACGTGCATCGGATCCAGTAGGCTTTGTCTGAACCGCGCTACATTACTCACGACCAGTGACATTTCAAAAATAAAAAATAAAATTTCGTTTTGGTGTGTGTCTCGATGGCGAAAATGTCGTGCCGCAATCCAATGTCCTATTCAGACGTCGATTTGGCAATTTTTAGAGGCACTGTTTTATCAGATAACAGGTACTAAATGCAAGGTGTGACATTCATTAAAAATAAATAATGACTGGAGATTTTTATACAGCTTGAAGATCAAAAATGCTACCAAATTTGGTTGTTACGGTGATTTATAATTTTGATAACGGCATAATGTCTGCTAAAATTAAATCAGATATGAACTTGGAAAAGAGTTTTGATAAAGTTCGAATAATATAATATCATACTTAAATATTGTCTATATAATGTGATTAAGCCACAATTGATTGTAATAATTGCATTTTTAACTACAAAAATTTGACATTTCAATTTCCACTCCAGAAATTGTTCTCAAAACAGATTATTTAGAATTTTGTTAAAAATAATGTATGTAGAATGTAATAGGTCTCTCAAAAAATGATATCTTACATCAATATGCTTACTTCTTTTATGGTAAATATGATTTGCTGATAAGTTTAATGCACTTTGATTATCATTAAATAAAGTAATACATTCAGTTTGTTCACTTAAATCACTTAGCAAGCCCCTAAGAAAAACAGCCTCTTTAGCAGCCTCTGACAAGACCATATATTCTGCTTCCCGTTAGATAAAGCTACCTACTGTTCTTTGTTTTACACTTTGCCAAGATATTTCATAGCCACAACGATGGATCAAGCAAAAGAACTAACTTGGATTTAGCTTGTTCTTATTTGTCTACTTCGGTTTCAGTTCCGTCTAAACACGTGGACAAACCTGGTTGCACTCCGATTTTGCACTCCAAAAGCCTAATCATCTTAATTTTCACGGCCTAACAACTTTGGCACTATAGACATATAATTCACTATTATTTTGATCCTTAACACTCAGTAGTATACAACGTTTATCTATTTACCAAGGGAAAAATTAGTCTGGGCCACCTTAACCTGTTAAAACTTTTAAATGAAACGAACTAGTAGAGTCTTCTTCTTTAAGTTCCATCTTCTATCGAAGGTTGGAAATCATCATGGCTATGCGGACTCTGTTGACTGCCGCTCTAAAAAGTTCTGCACTACTGCATTCAAACTATTCCCTTAAGTTCTTAAGCCAGGATATTCTTCGTCTTCCCACATTTCGCTTTCCTCGGATTTTGCTACACTAGTAGAGTATACAGTTAAAACTGTCTTTATTTTGTTCCAAAAGTAAATACAATTTACAGTTTATATTGTATCTACCTTAACTTACTGTAAATGATCTTCTTCTTTAAGTTCCATCTGCTATCGAAGGTTGGAAATCATCATGGCTATGCGGACTCAGTTGACTGTCGCTCTAAAAAGTTCTACACTACTACATTCAAACCATTCCCTTAAGTTCTCAAGCCAGGATATTCTTCGTCTTCCCACATTTCGCTTTCCTCGGATTTTGCCTTGCATAATAAGTTGTAATAATGCGTATTTTTGTCCTCTCATCACATGTCCTAAGTACTCAAGTTTTCGTCTTTTGATAGTTAATATTATTTCCGCCTCATTTCCTATCGTTCTAGTTACTTCCACGTTTGACATTCTTTGAATCCATGATATTCGTAGGATTCTTCTGTAACACCAAAATTCAAATACGGCCAACTTATTCAGATGGACTTGTTTTAGTGTTCACGCTTCCAAGCCATAAAGAAGAGTAGAGAACACTTAACATCGAAGCATTCTCAGGCGTAGTTCTAACCTTATATCCCGACAACAAAGAAACTTTTTAAGTTTAATGAATGATTTATGTGCTATTTCAATACGTGTCTTAATTTCTTTGGTTTGGTCTACATCTGATGTTATCCATGTTCCGAAGTATTTATAGTTATTAACAGTCTCAATTGCAGTATCTTCAATAGTCAATTGAATTCTTCAAATTTATCTTAAGTCCGTACTCATGACAGCGTTCATTAAGGCGTTGCATTACGTTCTGTAAATCATTGTTGTTATTCGTCATTATTACTGTATCGTCTGCAAAACGTAAGTTATTCAAAACTTCTCCATTGATAGATATACCTTCTATTGAGTCTGAGAGCGCTTCTTGAAATACTGCTTCACTGTTGACATTGAAAAGTAGTGGGGAATACACGCAACCTTGGCGGACTCCTCTCTGTATTTTGATATTTTCGGTGTACTGGCTGTCAACTCTTACCTTGGCAGTTTGATTCCAATATAAATTAGATATAATTTTAGTGTTCTTCTACCTTCTTTTGTGTTTTTGATGTCATAGATGACTTCTTCTCTTAATATTGGTGGTCCGGTATCCTCGGTGATTTCTAATGACAGTTCTTCTCTTTCATCATTAAATAGTTGTTGGATGTAATTGGTCCAGTGACATAATCCCTCCTTCATATCAGTAATAATATCCCCTTTATTATTTTTAAGGATATTCGTTCTTGTACGTTTTCTAGACCCTGTCATTTCTTTGATTTTTTTGTGTAAATTAAAGCTATCATACTTTTTATCCAGATCTTCTATTTCCTTGTATATGTCGGAGAGCCATCTCTCTTTTGCCTCTCGAATTTTCTTTCTGATGTTTCTCTGAATTTCTTTGTATTTATTCAGGTCTTTTGCTTTATGTTTTCTTCGTTCTTCCATAAGTTCAAGAAGTTCTACTGTCATCCAAGGTTTTGTTTTTTCTCCAAGTGGTTTGAGAGTTTCTTTTCCAACTGACACAACGGCATGTTGAATTTTTCCCCATTTTTGGTCAATAGTTAGAGTTTCCGCATTATCTTCTTTGACTTTCCTTAAATGTAAATGATATATAGCCCTAATATTTAAATTTTGTTTAGATGATATCAATATTTCAACATAGATAATAGTAGATTATATTTTTATTAACAAAAAATGCAAAATATGATAAAATTATATTGAATAAATTATTTTTGATAATCTTTTTTTAAGATTAAGATTTTTTTTTTATTTTTTAGGAACGTGCTACATTGGCAACCGAAATTCCACAACCCTGCTTTCTCTGGTACTAATTCCCTACTTCTTCTACTTTACTTCTGGTACCGTACTTCTCTTCTTGGGTTGTAGCTATGTGATGAGAAAACCGAGGTCTCTGGCTGCTGCGCCTCTTACCAATGCCGCTCCAAGAAAGGAAAGTGATTTCTTAGGGGCGATTTGTACATTATATGCCATTCCTACATTCTGCGTAATGGCCAGTGTCTACTATGAGTATAACAACAGAGATAGATGGCTTGCTGGAGAGAGAAAACCTGCCTTATGGGCGTTCCTGTTAAAATACTTCATGAGTTTGTTCATTGGAGTAAGCAGCGTATTCTGGATTTGGTAAGTTGTATTAATTTGTTACTTTCTAAAATCTGATAAATCTTAAATGAAACTATGAATAAAAAATCACGCGCTGTAAGTGGTCAAATGTGGCCGAAATCACGTGCTCTTCATGAATTCTAGGAAATTCTTGTGATCACTTAACATTGTAACAGTAAAATATTATATTTCTCCTTATAATTGCAAAAATAATTAATTACATAATTATAATAATAAAAATAATACATTAGATCTGGTTTATAAAATAAGTTCTCATTCACAATAATAATGTTTTATTAATAATTAATAATTTTAAATATTTTTGATGCAATTTCAAAAAAGTCTTATTTTTTTCATAGTTTTTTTTAATCGATTGTATAAGTTTAACTTAGCTCGAAAAGATATTCATATACTTACAGTCTCAAGAATACTTAATATTTAGTTTGTTTAATTAACTTGAATAATATTTAATTAATCGATTTGCAGGTCGATGAAAAGTGTAATGGCCTGGCGATCAATTCTAAGACGCCTTGGACCAAGAAAGCAGCTACCTTTAAAAGTGCAAACAATGCCCCAGGTGATGCGGTATATGCCTGCCCAGACATTAAGTACGAGTCTGAGCACCACTTCCAAACATTCTACTAGAACACATCCACATAGGAAACCCAGAGTACATCACCATATGCGGTCAGGAAGTGAAACGGTCATCTGATGGCCTTGTCTGTATATTTTAAATATTTCCCAAATCAAATGACTGAATTTGATAAAACGTTGTATGCCAAAAGTTGTGTATTGCATTTTTGGGAAAAAGGTAAAGTAAAAATTATTTAAAAACCACGGGATAGCGTGGTAATATTAGTTGTAACTAAAAAGGCATTACGTATTTTTTACATAATAATTTTATTCAAATGACAGCTTTATTTAAAATGTTGTTAAGAGATTTGGCATAGAAAAAAAAAACAAAACAATTATTATTTCGTTATTATAGAAAATTAAGTTTAAAAGTGTAATGGCGGATTGTTGGAATATCCATCAGAATAAAAAACAATAGGGGATGACAGGCTTAAAGCCATTATAAATCTATTTTTCAAAAGACCTAATGCTTGCTTGTGAGTGTATGTCAAAATTAAGCTTACTAAGTCATCTTTGAGGTTGAACCTTTATTTAAAGGAATCATGAGATTGATGTAGTGCTTTGCTAACTAAACGTAGGCGTAAAAGAACAAGAATCCTTTGGTTCCTAATTTTCGCTGGCAATATCTCCTCAAAATACATAAAGCTCTTCTTAGAATATCCATTTCTATCTTTTCCACTTTTTTTATTCTATAATCTGTAGCTTGGTACACGTTTAAAAAGTATCTTGTTTTCTATGTTTACAAATTTTAATGATTTTTTCGATATGGTATCTCTTACAATTTGTCCTGTCCTCTGGCATGAAATCTTTTGTTATCCTGTTAGAAATTAGGATTATTTTGTGGTCTGTAATCTGAGCTAGATCCGGCTCGAAGGACCAAAAAATGTAAAAAAACATAACCGCCTGATTCTTATTCTGCCCGGTGTAATTTCTATGACTTTGGCATTTAACACCTTTATTAAGTTGAACGTAATTTCATTAGAACTCATGGACGCTTCACTTGTATCAGCAATATGCACAGTAAGTCAAGTCATCGAACCTGTTTTTTTATATATTGACAAATTTTATGGATTTCTCTATAACCGAGAAATTTATTTTTATTGAATAACTCATAGAATTAATAATAAGTTAAAATAATTGTTTTGTTTGATTTCTACGTATTTTTTGTATAGTAAAATAAATGTATATCCCAGTTTAAAGGTAAAATTTGTTAAACATTAAAATTAAAGCGAAAACCTATCCTGTACAGAGTTCAAAACTGTAAAAATTCTTATTGTACATAATACATATAGACAAAATTATATTCTTCCATTAGAAATATTTATTTGTATTAAGGGAAGGGCTCGAGTAAAGAACAAAAATGCGCTTAGAACATCTTCTTGTATTTTGTAATGTTGTAAATAGTCTGTGATTATTTGTATACACAATATTTATTTTTTATATTAACTATTATTCATGGCCATTATCTTTAAAAACGTATATTAAAAAAGAATATGTTCTACTGTTCATGTAAATGAAAAAATATAGAAATATCAATATATCTATTTTAAATATTATGTTTATATGTGGTAAGCCACAATTCAATGTAATGAAAATTACATTTTCAACTAACTAATGTTGGACGTTTCGATTTTCTCTCGGAAATCATTTTCAAAAAAGACATTTAAAAGATTGTGCGAATAGTATAATCTACAAGCCCTTAAATTAGGTTATGCTTTGTCTACGTTTAGGTTTAGGTGTTGGATGTAATTCTTCGAATGTCTGTTCTTAATCTCCACTGTTTTGTCCTCATCGTAGCTTCATTATCATACATTTCTTATAACTCGCAAAATGATTCGTCAGTATCTCCGAAGAAGAGTATTTAGAATTTTTTGCTTTAATAGCTTTGTTGAATTGGGAATTGTTTTTGTACAGTTTCCGATGAAAGTCAAACCACTTGGGCCAGCAACTGGACTTAAGTTTGCCAAAGATAAAGTGTTTCTCCATATTATCCTCGATAGCATTAGGTGACTCAGTTATTGGAGTAAATTATTCTTCTTTAAATAGATACAATCCTATTATTTTGAAACCATTTACATCTTTTTCAATCGTCGTTACGCGGTTGTATGCTTTAGCAAATAATTCTGCAATATATATATATATATATATATATATATATATATATATATATATATATATATATATATATATATATATATAAGGTTCTTGAACTCCTAAGTGGAGCATAGAGCTTCAGTGAAAACGCGCCATCGGGTTCTATTTTGCGCTAAGGCCTTCACCTCATTCCAAGACTTTCCTTGTTTTTTTATCTCGTCCATGATGGATCTTCTCCAAGTTTGTACTGGGCGACCTTTTTTTCGTTTACCTTGGGGATTCCACTCTAGGGCAGTCTTTGCAATACTGGAGTTATTTTTTCGGAGTGTGTGACCGATCCAACCCCACTTTTTGGACTTTATTTCATTTACTACCCTCTTTTGTTTGGTCAGGTGTAGTAAATCTTCGTTTCTGATGATGTTAGGCCAGAAAATACGAACAATTCTTCGTAGACATTAATTTATTAACAAAGACCTGCAGTTTGTCTGTAAAGGTTTTTGTCGCTTTCCAGGTTTCACATCCGTAAAGTAGTACAGACATGACATTTGACTGGAATATGCGGATCTTTGTCCTCGTAGTGTAGCCTCCAGACCTCCAAACAGGGTTGAGCATGCTGAAAGCTTGTTGCGCTTTTCGTATCCTCATACGAATATCGTCTTCTGTACCTCCGCTTTCTGTTATGACACTTCCAAGATACGTAAAGTTTTCCACATTTTCAATCTGCATGTTATTAATGGTGAATAGCGTGTTGTTTCTTGCATTTATTAATTCTGCAATATATGTGACAGCAATTGTTTCATAGTGATGTGTGGTCTGTTAAACTGGTCACATTCGTGATTATATGCAGATTTCAAACCAGAGAAAAAAGTAGATTTCAATGGCTGAACCCTGTGTTAGGGGAAAGAAAAACCATTATGATTCCATTTTCATGATAGTAATTATAGGATTGAGGAGTAGAATGTAAGGTCTGGTTGTTTAAAATGAGCATGAAAGGGATCATCAGGGAAGGTTTTGACGAATTTACAAAAATTCTTTAACCATTCGAAAAATAATTGCCCGGTTGTCCAACCGGACTTTGAACAATGATAGATGGAGCCAGGTGGACCATTTTTACTCAATCCCTAACCTTTTTAAAATAAACACGAGTGGAACATACTGTCTAGCAGCACTCATACAGCAAACTACAGTAGTGTTTGACCTCGCTCGCCACTAATTGACCCAATTTGCTTTCTTCCCTTTGGTGCAAGAACACGAGATGGTTTATGCACAGTTGTTATCCCAATCTCGTCCACATTGTATATGCGGTTCGGGTGAAAATTATATTTTTCCATTAATATTGTCACGTTGTCATAAAGCACATTTATATCTGCTTTATTAAAAGCTATACTCTATTCTTACTAGTCGCGTCTGGCTTTCTTAAGTACAATTGGGGGTGTGATGTTAGGAAACCATATAGCCATTCTTTTCCACGTGTTTCTTTATTGGGACTGAACTTATTTCTTGTATTGTTTCATACAGTATATTCATATGCAACTTTCCGTATTTTGTTTGGTGTTAATCCCCAGCAAAGATTTGATAATTTAATTACACAATCAGCTAGCATCTTTTCCTCTTCTTCAGAAATAACCGGTCTTCTTCCTAACGCATTTTTTTTTGCTGGAAACCGATTTCTCATGTGTTGCAGGGTACCTACCATATGAAATCGAGTAGATACTATCTGCTTTTTTAATTAAACAGGTTTTATGGTTGACCGCATTTAGTGCTCGGTTCATCCTCTCCTTTGTCCAGAAAGAACGGGCTGTTTTTTTTATATAATTTCTTGGCATCTATAAATAACAAAATTTCCATTAAAAAACAAAGCGTACAATATCGATGCATGAGGTAATATCGACTGTTGTGATTGATCACAGATATCCAAAGTATATTTTTATCAAATATAGTGCCTAACCTCAAAATTATGATAATGCGAATGCCAAATAAACAATAATACACTAATAACATTGGTCAAAACAAATTTTCAAAACGGTAGCACATAAAAAATACAAACCTTATTTCCTGAGGCGAGCAATTTTTTAAAAATCGGCCAAAAAACAACTTTAAGTAATATGAACTGCACGTCTGACTGATCACATGGATTTTCGGTAGTTTGGTAACTGTCGCAAGGTAGCAGGACGTATTGGAGTACTGAAATTACGCTTTACTTTCAAAATTTTTCATACTTAATCTATAAGTTGTATCTCGAACGGGGATATTTATCACCTCATCTTCTTCATAAATGCTGTCTGAGGAGAGCAAAACTTCGAAATATTTATAACAGGAGAGCAAATTAAAAGCAATATGAATATTTTTGTTCTTATATCCTTTGTAAACCAAATTACCGTTGTATTTATATATCCATTCGTGTTAAACGCTTCAAAAATCTTTTTAAAAAATGAGTTGACTTATTTTTGCTGTCCATAATTAATAATAGCGTTGGGGTGTATCTCACAAATAGGTTTCTTTATCTTTTATGAAAGAAATTGTACTTATGTTTTTCATATAATATAAATGGTAGACACATATTCTTTCTTAAAATATCTGATAAACATTAACAATTTTTTCATTTTCTATCATTTTTACTCAATGTCAGTTTTATGGCAGCTTGTATTTCATGTTTCATAGGAGAGGGTTTTAGACTTAACTCTAAATAAATATCCTCAATCAATAATAGCACGATTTTTTTCTAGTGTACACATTTTCGTTTTTTAATTATTGTAAATATTAGCGTGCCATTTTATAATATTCCTACGATGTCTTACTTATAAGACCTAGTTTTTATAAGATTTTTATACATATTTTTTATAAATCTATGTACTTACAAACTATTTATTTAGTTATTTAGGTTTGTGTAAAGTGTCTTGTGATATGTGTTTAGATATAATTAAATAAAAAGTTTATATTTAACCAAGTCGTTTAATTTCCCCTTCTTTCAAAATAAACTGTAAGAAAATAATAAAAATATGGAATGATGGCTTGCATAGGAATCGATAAAATATGTAAAATATGAATGAACAATATTAATCCTTTACCTATAGTAATCACCGTCGACTTAGACTATCACCCATGTACAATAATTCCTTCATCTAAATGGAAAGAGTCTTCAGCAAACTGGAATACCTTTAAATGTCATATAGAAAAAACATTGTCTGAAAATATAACCGATAATATCACTTCAGCGGAACGTTTTGACTTTCTGTTAAAGACAATTGACGATGCTGCCTCATCTTCTATGAATATCAAAAATTCCTTTCAGCCAAAATCTCGAATTCCAGTCTGGTGGGATTATGAATGCAAAAATATGATCATTTTACGAAAAATTGCATACAAAAGATACATAGAAACATCAAATTTTGAAAACTATATTAAATACAAACAAATTCAAGCCAAAAGTAAACTCCTCTTTACAAACAAACAAAAAAGTTCGTGGATTAACTTTGTTAATACTTTAAACAAAAATACTCCCATCAGTAAAATTTGGAATTTTGTTAATAAACTAGTGAATAAAAATTACCGTACAAGAAGATATCCCCTGTCAAATGAACTAATAGAAGAGTTGTTCGACAAATTTGCTCCAGCATATGTTGACCTTCCCATTCAGGATAATAGGAAAACTTGTAAATACAATATTTTCCAGGAAAGTTTTGATATGAAAGAATTTGAGGCTGCACTCAAGTCTTCAAATTCCTCGGCTCCGGGGCGCGATCAAATTACTTATAACATAATATATAAATTACCTCTTACAGCTAAACAAAGTTTACTAACAATTTTCAACGATTGGCTTTTCAATGGAAGTTATGTTGATCATATGAAAGAAATAGTTATTTGTTTAATTCTTAAACCCAATAAAGATAAAACACTCTCCTCTTCTTACAGATCGATATCATTAATGTCTTGCATATGCAAGACATTTGAAAGACTTATAAAGACTCGATTAGAATGGTTTATAGAACATTATAGTATCCTTCCAAGTACACAATATGGATTTAGGGCTAGTGTTGGTACACTGGATGCAATATCACATTTAGTTACCGACATTCAAATAACGTTTTCCAGAAACAAATATCTTGCTTGTTTGTTTTTAGACCTAAAAGGGGCATATGATTCTGTTAATTTAACAATGTTACACAAAAAACTATATGATATAGGATTACCTCAAAATATAGCGACTAATATTGTTCATCTTTATAATAATCGTGTTATATATATTAAAGATCATTTAAACCAACTACACGGTCCTAGAATTGCTCATACAGGTCTTCCACAAGGATCAGTTTTAAGTCCGTTATTGTTTAACATATTTTCAGCAAGTATTCATGGCATTTTTGATAACACAATAAATTACATCCAATACGCTGATGGCATATGCATCTATACAGGGCCCGTATTTTCAAAACCGTTCGAACGGAAGTCGTATGCGAAAGATGATGAATTTCGAACGAAAATCGATGATTCCTATTTTCGAGTTGATTTCGAAAGCATCGTATACGACGATTTTCGTACACGACTGCTCGAGTGGGTATTCACCATTCGAATAGCGGTAAACACACGGATTTTGACATTTCTGACTTTTGCATTTAGTTTGGTTTTTTATTGTTTACATAAGTGAGATGGCCGGCCTAAATGTTTTAATTGAAAAAAATGTTTTAAATGCCTTAGAAGATGCAGAAATGTTACCGAATGTGGAGAATAGAGTATACCATGCATTTTTAAACCCTCTTGAAGCCTTATCAGACAAACAATTTGTAAAATTATACCGTTTAACAAAGCCTCTGGCAGAGGAACTAATAGAACTTTTGGAGCCCCACTTGGTACCTCCATCTAGGGCATCTGCATTAAGCATACCGAGAAAGGTAAGTATAACAAATATTTTTAATTCGACATAGGTATACTGTGAAAATGTTCCCCAAAGCACCCTCCGCTTTGTTCCATAAGAATAAGCATCCGGGTCAAGTATTTTACATAGAGAGTAATAAAATTGTTTACCTACAATAATTTTTTGCAGGTTTTCTAATCTATTTTCTTCCATAAAATCTATCAGTTCTTTTTTTTGTTTGGGAGATACAAATCCTCCGAACATGGAATTTTTATTTTCTTTGTCCATATTGGAAACAGAGAAAACAGATAAGTACGAAAACACAAGCCAAAACACGTTAACCCTGTGTAGAAAATTGAGCAAATCACAAAAAACTAAAAAACTGCAAGTCTGCTGCAACAAGTAAAATAAACTTGTCAGTCAAATAAATGTCGCCTGTCACCTCTACCTCTTCTTTTCTTAATTTCGTGCGAATTTGCGGCGTTGCCGGTGAATTTGGGTTAACGGATTCTCGAATGAGAATTAAACTTTCGAATTGCGTTCGAAAATACGCTTTTACGCACGTGCACGATTTTTTTTCGTTCGAACTAATCGCATGCGAGTAAATTCGAATACATTCAAAAATACGAGCGTAACTCGTATACTGACTGCCTGGAGGCTCTGGAATTCATCATGCAAAACGTTAATAACTGGGTAAGAAATCATGGATTGACAATTTCCCCTGACAAATCAGCCACAATGATATTCACTAGACATAGGATTCGTACGCCTGACAAAATAAAGTTGTCTGGATATGACATATCTATTGTCAAAGAATACAAATATCTTGGCATTCTTCTTGATCCCAAACTTTTATGGTCAAAACATGTTGAATATGTAAAAAGTAGGTGTGAAAAAGGTATTAATATTCTTAAATGTGTCACTAATCGTAGATGGGGTGCTGACCCTAAAGTTGCACTGATGTTTTACAGAGCCTACGTGCGATCTATTGTAGACTATGGTTGCATTCTGTATGGTGCCGCCAGTAACACACACTTATTAACTGTAGACCGTATTCAGTTCAAATGTCTAAGAATATGCTTGGGCGCCATGAAATCTACTCCTTGCCCTGTACTACTTGCTGAAAGTAATGAAATGCCTCTTCAAAATCGTCGAGAAATTATGGCAATTAAACATATCCTAAAGCTAAGATTAAATAATAATAATCTACTTAGCCATCTGTATGAGTTATCTATGGAAAACCTCTCAAATAATTACTGGAGAATAAAAAATTCTCCTCCCCTTGCTGATGCTTTCTTAGAAACTAATGAGTATTTTAATATATACGGCAAAGAAAAAAGATTACCAATATATAAAGCTAATTTTCAGGTAACATTAAATAAACCAAAAGTCATTATACCAAAGTACACAGAAACCCCACAAATAAACTTTGTCTTACTTAAATCCATATTGAGTGACTATAATGATCACGTAATAATGTATACGGATGGTTCCAAAAAAGAGGATGGTGCCACAGGTTGCGCAGTTTACATTCCACATAAAAGCGAATCTTTGAAAATTAAACTTCCATCACATTGTTCAATATACACTGCTGAAGCGATAGCAATCGAAAAAGCATTAGATTGGCTAGATTTACACAATTTTAATAAAGCAGTAATATTATCAGATTCATTATCGGTCATTAAAGGATTAAACTCAGATATGACTCAACATAAAAGAAATAATATTCTTTGTGAAATTAAAAATAAAACATATAGTAAAGACATTACAGTTATTTGGGTTAAAAGTCACATTGGTATCGAGGGAAATGAACTGGTTGACCAGCTTGCTAAAGATGCGACCCATGTTGGACTCTACATTCCCATATTCACATTGGAGGACTTACAACAACATTATTATAACAAAATTTTTATAAATTGGAAAGAAAAATGGAAAAACATAGCATCGAACTCAAATAATCAATATTATACTATCCACCCTACCTTACCACAAGATGTTGCCTATATTTTTAAATATGCAATGCCAAAGAAGTTGACAGCCACAATTACACGACTGAAAACTAATCACGGTGCATTTCCAGCTCACTTGGCTAAGTTAAATATTATTCCTTCTGGGGTATGCTCATGCGATAATATATCACAATGTGACATCAACCATATTCTTTTTAAGTGCGATAAACATAGGTATGAAATAGATCAGCTGTATTCAAAACTATCAGAACTTAAAATTCAGACTCCCATAAACATCACCCATTTACTCTCCTTAGATAGTAGAGAAGTATACGAACTAATATGTAACTTTTTATTTAAAGTTGGTTACATTATTTAAAAACATATATTATATTACAATTCTAAGGCTAAAGGACTAGTTTCCAAGCCAACTCACTAAACACACACACACACACACACACAATATTAAGCCTTTCGATAATAAGGTAAGTGAGCCAAATATTGACACATTAACGTTTGTTTCTAAATAAATCCTCCACTCTTATTAATAAATAAAAACAAATTTGAGTAGTAACTACTAAAGAAATCTATTTTCTTTAAGAATCTATTTTAATTATACTAAAAAACTAATCAAAAACTAAATAAAGAATACTTTTTTATTGACGTTGCGAATGGCAATATTAGGATTAGGTACAGATCTCCTATTATGCCACCCATGTCAATATTAGACACTGAAGAACTACAGTTAAAATTAACACATTTTTCTGAAAATAATAAAGGTAATTAAGTAGTATGAACGTAACAAACATTTCTGAAACATATAACTTAGAAACATGGAGGGCAAATAAACGTTTTTTTGGTCATCTTAATTACAAAAACAGTCGATTTTTTAAATAACCGTAGAAAATCGGTTGGTTACTTTTGACAGATCAAAAACAGTCGGTTCCAATCAAGTAATGGTTGGTGCAACATATTCCAAAATAAACGGGCAATCCAAATCAAAAAATCAATCGTTTATTTGTTGGTGCAACTGGACATTAGTCTATCATACACAGGCCTCCTACACATAACGATAGCACACTATGCACAAGCGCGTATCTTCTTTACTGCAGGTGTTACCATACCAAGATTCTTGACATAAACCCAAATTACAATATTGACTTTAATACTCTAGAACAAGTTCAGGTATACTTCTTAAGGGACTACAGCAATTTACCTTTATCTTTAAGAAAATTAATGTTTATATCTGACAGTTCACAATTGTTCAAAGATTATTATATACTATATTCAGATGCATCCAAAAGTATCGAAGGTGTGGGAGGTGCATACTGGGATGACAATAATAAAAACAGTAAAATGTTTAAACTCAATTCCATCATGAGTATATACACAGCTGAATTAATAGCGATAGTGGAAGCACTAAAATATTTATCTAATATAGATCATTCAAAGTTTATAATTTATAGTGACAGCAAAAGTGCTGTAAGTAAAATTAGTGCTATAAATCCTAAATCAAAAGTAAATTACGTTGAATTATATATAATAAATAAAATTATAGAACTTCAGCAACAAGGCAAAACTGTTAAGTTGGCATGGATTAAAAGCCATTGTGGAATCACTGGAAATGAGATAGTAGATGAATTGGCAAAAAATGCTGTGACACAAGGAGTATTAACTGATTATCTTTGTACGTCTAGAGATATAGAATCAGACACGTTCAAAGAGCTTAAGAAGGAATGGAAAGAAAGGTATATTAATGAAAATATAAATACAGGAAAGCATTACAGAGCAATCAGAAACCATATTACGGATAAATCTTGGTTTGCTAAAATGGAGTCGACAAAGGATATGACAAGAACTATATGCAGAATGAGATTTAACCACTGTCTTACACCATCATATATGTTTAAAATGAATCTAGCTGATAGTCCACAATGTATTTGTGGTCAGATGGGTAACCTACAACATAAAATTTTAGACTGTTCTCTTATTTCCAATAAGGTTAATAATTTTTTAAATTCGCTATATTCTTTGACCGATGTCCACCATCCCATTAATTTAAGTTATTTATTAACATTAGAAAACAATGAATTTCTATATAGATTATTGTATAAACATGTTTTAGATATTAAACTCAAATTGTAATTGTAAATATAGAGTAAGTATTTCTTTGTAATTTGTTAGAAAAAAAAAAGAAAAAAAAATAAAAAAGTAAAAAAAAAATTAAAGAAACAAATAAAAAAAAATAAACAAACAAATAAAAAAAATAAAAAAAAACTAAGAAACAAATAAAAAAAAAATAAAAAAAAAGAAAAATTGAGGAACTTGGACAGTCCACAGTAAAGTAGCTATTGAATTAAGTAGATAGCTGCAGAAAAGTTTACTGTGGAACTCTAAGGACCTCATCACTTATTATACTTATTATACTTATATATAAATAACTAAAAAACAATTAATAGGAAAAAATGACTATATATTAGGGATCAATACTAGTAATAGTAGGATTAGTATTAGTAGGAATTTAGTATAAGATTGTATAGGAAACAATGACTAATGAAAAAATGAGTACAAATTGTAAGATTGGCGAATGGATTTAGTGTCCGCAGTCATTTAAACACAAACAAACAACAACAACCAAGATTCTCCATTACTTGATTTCTTTGTCATACTGCAGTTCTGTATCTTTAAAGGAACTGTTTAAACATTTGGAGTCAGAAGTTCATCTTCACTAGACATCGTCAAGTAAGTCATCGTAAAGACTAAAATTTCATAATGATTCGCTACTTGAGATAGTAATTAAACGCTTCTTTTTTTTGTCATTAGTTTTCTCTGGCACTTGAGATGAGCCCCAAAATATTAAGCAGTACTGACTGCACCAAGCCGCAGTACATTAGGAAGGAACCAGTATCAGTTTTATTTCTAATTACATAACAACGACTACTTACTGTCGAAGTTATGTTATCTATGTGATCTTCCTAACTTAGCTTTGGATCTAGTATCAGTCCTAAAAATTTTATTACTTCAGCATTTTGAATGGACTTGTGATCAATATATAGATAAGGATCATAATTAGGCGCTATATTCTTTGGTAAAAATCTTATGAAACTGGGTTCTGTTATATTTAATTTAAGACTGTTGTCTTTGCAATAATTACTAAATTCCTGAGATGCTGTATTGCCCTTGATAACAAGCTGATCAAACTGATGATATAATATAATGAAGCTTGTATCATCTGCATATTCAATAATTTGATTAGGAGTAGTGCAAACTTGGTTGATATTGTTAATAAAAACAATAAAGAAGAGAGGACCAAGAACCGAACCTTGTGGTACTCGCACAAAAGACTTTATTGAGTTTCATATAAAGAAGCTGAATCTTCATTGAAAAAACATAATATTTATCATCAAGAATATGAATAGCATTTGCTATCGACTCTTTGTCAGATTTTTCTAACAATTGAGGAAATAAAACTGAGAAACTGTATAAATTTAATATTTCTTCATGAAAGGGAGATTTTAAATCTTCGATTATGTTACGATTACTTATCAGAATGTATATAGATCATATAAAATAGTCTTCGGGGATTTTCATATGGATAATTTGCTCAATTTCACTGTTGGCGCTAGACGAACAAGTTTCATTTCTATGCCGAGTTAATCTGCAATGAAACAAATTTAAAATTAAAAAAAAATAATTCACGTGGTTTGAGAGGGCCTGTCGATCGCCCTCCCATTGGATCCGCTGCTGCTTGGGTAAACTATTGGTAACAATAGATGGTTAAATAGGTAAAGAGAGACTATTATTATATTAATACACATAACACTATAGTTTGTGGTGTTCCTAAAAGAACATCCTATTTATTTAAAAAGTGTCAAAAACATAACAATATGTTAATTTATTTTAACTAAATTTAATCTCCAATGCTATGTTTCATCTATTTTCTTATTTTCTTCTTCTGCAGGTGTTTCTAAATTGGCTACTTCCCTAGAAGCTGATTTTAATTTAAATACAACAGGTACTTTTCCTAAATTAGGATAACCATCTTTTTCAAGATGCCTAATCCATGACAATAAAGAGTCTTTACTTGATGTTCCAGTTGCACATACTGAAAATATCACACCATCCTCCTGTTCATGAACTGAAGGAATTACTTTAACATGTTTGACTGTAGGGGGTTTAATATTAAATAACGATACTTTTAAATCACTGACGTCATCAGGATCTTTGTCTTCTGCTACAATTGGTTTTGGATCTCCTCTTAATACAAAATAATTTATAGGGTTTCCTTTTATCCAAATTTTAGTAGCGCCTGCAAAGAAGAACATTAATTATTAGGATAAATATAATTTTTATCTATAAGAATAATTAACAAGATACAACATTATAACTTGTGTAAATCATAAAGTAAAACAACAAATGGGGAGATAAAAAAAAGTAAAGCTTGTCAGAGCCAAAAAGAGTTTTGGTACCTATGTCGTGCCCAAATCTCATTAAAAATTCGTTAAAACAATGTATAGTTATATAAAAACTAAACTAACAAATACTACACTATACACTATACTATATAAAAAACGTCTATATAATAGACTAAATTTCAAAATATTGTCGCTGCGAATACTAAATAGGTACCCATGCAACTAGTGGCCAGTGGGTGAAGACGGATAATATATTTTTTAACGGAACTGCACTAGCTATTTTTCTCAACTATACTAGCGACAGGCGGTACGTTGCCATGTCAACCGTAACCGTTTATGCAGATGGATTTCGCATTTCAAAAATGATATTCACCTATTCCTGAATCATACATACACAGCAAGTGACACAGATCAGGAGTTGAATAAATAATTGATTTCAGAATTTAGATATAATATGTTGCTTTTATTTTTTATTTATTTGTCCCAATTTAATTATATTTTTTTGGTGAACCTCACCTTCATCTACTTCACCTGGCCAGCCGCTGCTGATTTAGAGGCTAATTATTAACTACATTGAAGTTATAATCGGATGATGTTATGCAAAATAGATTCAACCCACACAAGATTTTGAGATAAATAGCTTCAAAGTTTAAAATCTGTTGCAAATCATATGTTTTATTATAGTATACCTGGGATATACCATTATATAAGTAAATTTTGGAATTACTTTTTCAACATTATTTAAAAAAGAGTACCAATTATTTCTGTGTAAAAAAATGTTGGATAAATACTTTTTGCTTTTTATGTTAGGTATACAAGAAAGAAAATTTTTTTAAACATGTTTCAAATCACTTTCTACTCCAAAACCATCAACATCATCCTGTTTAGCTGTTCTTAAGTAATTATCTATCTTTGAACTATTTCTGCAGTTGGCCTTTTTTTCTACATCTACTGTCTGTATGTTTTCTTCTGTTTTGTCTGGTTTCATGTAGTGCAAGAAAGATTCGCTCTTTAAAACTTTGATTTCATGAGTCTTAAGCCAATTTACTTTCTCTTTCTTTAATCTAGTCTGTGATACATTCCAATAGTTTATTAATTGAAACCATTTGTCCTCTTTCTGTTTCTTGTTTTTTCTCCTATATTTGTCCAAGTTTTTAACAGGTGGATTTATATGATATTTTATGTACTTCTTCTACAGGATCCTACCTCTTGGTTTTCTCTTCCAGCTTCATGTTCACTTTAAAGTACAGTAGATAAAATGCTGACTTACTTTTTTATTATTAGGAAGGTTTTACCACTTTCTACTTGGTATAGGAACTTTTTAATATATCAAGTTTAGTATTATAAAAACTATTAACCAAATAATAGAAGATAACAATGATTCTCAAATCTGCTGTTTAACTGTTATGGCACCAATGTGGTTTGATACAGAATTGAATTTTTATTTTAAAATCAACTTGAAATAGCGGACTGTGAATAGAGTGGTTTTAGCTTGAACTGATAATTAAACGTTTTTTGTTTAAGTAATTGCAAGTTAAATATTCAGAGATTGTGGGTTAAAATTTCAACTGTATCACTCTTTTAAATACTAATGTGGCTTAAATCATTTTTGCATAATTTAAATAACAATATAATTTACCATGTGATTCAGATAAATAAATTTTTAATGTTTTTTGGTTTAACTGCTTTTTATCTAACACCATCTAATTCACATATGATAGTTGTCTTGATATCAATAATCAGCAAGTAGGTGAAAAACTGGATTGCAGAGGATAAAGGGAGACAGAAGGTGGAAATACCGTAAAACCTCCCTTAACCACCTTTTTAACCAAAACGGCTTACAGTTTCAATAATTTCGTCAATAAAAAGTAAATTTTTATAGCAAAACGTAAACAATTCCATTACTTTCACTCACCGATTGATCCCCATGTATGTTGGGAAATCAAAAAAAAGAGCTCTATAAGATATTTGAGGAAAAGCAGTTCCAGTTTTTTATAGAAACCAAAAAAGCTCATGGATGTCAACCACTTTATTTTCAAAATGGTTAGAAAATGAATTTGTCCCAAGTGTAATATCCTTTTTAAAATAAAAAAACCTCATCAAAGCATTGTTGCTTGTTGAGAATGCACCAACTCACTCAAAATTTACACAATAGTGATCATTGTCAGATTTTTGCCACCAAATGGTATGAGCTTAATTCAGCTGTTAGACCAGGGAGTAACAGAGACATTATAGAGGAGCATTCGTAAGACATCTATTATTACAGGAGACGAATGAATCCAAAAGTGTTCCCGAAATCATCAAATGTTCAACAATGAAACATGTTGTTTATCAGTGTGCTAAGTTCTGGGCCAAGATCAAATCTTCAGCTTTGGAAAAATGCTGGAACTAACTTTTTGATAGGATTTTGATTGACCACCCTGAAGAAGAAAATGGTAAAAAAGCGATAGAAGAAATTAAACTATTAATAAAAAATTTGCCGGGATGTGTCAAAATTAACTAAGAAGAGATATGTGAGTGGTTAGCAGCTGATGACTTAGAAAGTGAATTCATCGACCAGGACATCATTGATATGGTTCTTCATCCAGACAACCTGAGCGTATCAGACGATGAAGATGACGACCCAACAGGCAACATGAGACTGCAGACGAGATTTTTAATGCCTTAAGGATAAGAATTTTATACAGTAGGCCTAATTAGTTTAGTTAGGGACACAACTAGGTTCTTAATTTTTGTTTTTTTTTATTAATTAGATGGCTTTGGTAAAGACCAATTAGCCAGACAATTAAATTTTTGTTGTCACTGTATAAAGTTTTGTCCATTTCAGATTGCTTTATGTTTCATCAAACGATGAAATGAGGAAAACTCATGACATTTTGCAAGTGAACAATGGGAATATATATGTATGTAGAGCAAAAGAAAATAAAAGAATTCTTTAAAAAAGCATGTTAAACTTGTTCATTTTCCTTAATTTTATTACTTTATTCTGTATTTACTTATTAGAAAACATTACGAAATAACCTCATAGTATTTTTTAATATCAATACTTTAACCAAGAATACTATAAAAACAATGTTATTTTTAACCGAAATTCCTTTTATCCGAAATGTCCTCCCCCCCCCCAATTATTTCGGTTAACAGAGCTTTTACTGTAGTTCTAGGAAAAATATGTAGGAATTTTTATTTCTTAATAGTTAAACTTGGATTAAAAGTTTGTCACTGTTAATTGACAAAACCTAATTTGCAGGGAAATTTGTAGATATCTGAAGGGTCTCGCATTATATGGAGTGGTTATTACCTTCTACGAAAATTGGCTCATCTATCTTATGTTCACTAAGCAACTGTCTTTGTGTTTTACTTTGTGCACTAACAATCCAGGTATCATCTATTGAATCTGGAATATCTACAGTTTGGTATACACTAACAACAGAGTTCACATCAACACTACTAATCCTTTCAATAGCATACTTGGCTAAATCAAAAGTGTCTTTAGGTAAAGGGTCAGGTACAGGCCAAGGAGATAGATTTTTAAATTTAGGCATCCAGTACATCATCCTCCAGTATTTTCTAAGTGGATAACCTCTTTTCCCAAAAATATTTAGTAATAAACTTTCCATTTCAATGTCAGGCATAACCCCATTATCCTCCATTTGTTCCAGAAGATCGATAGCACATTGTTGTTGCTTGGGATAATGCATAAATTCAGCTTGGATCATATTTTGAGGAATAAATTTTCCTAGAAATTATAAAACATATTATTCAATTTATACGCACAATACCTGTTGAGTACCTTTAGGTAATATATCTAATAAGGCTTTGTAAACTTCTAAATCTTTATTGACACCAAATTCCTCCATATTTTTCAAGGCTGAGTAAATAAATTCTACATGACCCCTTCGATAAATATGATCTCTGTTTACAAAAATCTTTACCATTTCAAGATATGAATTTTTATTTTTATTTTGCATGTTTTCAAAAGAATCCTTAATAACTAATGACTTTTTATCTTTTTGTTCTTCATATCTATTAGCAGAAAGTTGAAAAGATCTGGTGCAATTATTGTTAATGGAGATCTGTTTACACTTTGAGATGACTGAACCATATCGTAAAATTTTCTTTAAAAACATTTCAAATTAAATACCGCCAGGTGATTTAAAAATTAGCACTATTTAGAAAATCATAACATAACTTAACCTATTTTGACAACTGTCGGCTAACCTTAAAGTTTTTTACCTCATTCAAATTTTCTTCTTTTATGGATTTGTGGGTGATTTTTGTAATTGTAAGATTAATTCTATTATTATCTTCACTACGATTTTTTTAATACTCATTGTAGATATTATAGACAATTTGATGGTATATTCTTAGTTCATATTACAGAATACGTATTATAATTAAACGTATCTTATTAACCATGTAACTGGATTAGTTAAACTATCTAGATATTTGTAATTATATTATAATCAAAAAGAAGGGTTGAAGGGTAGGGTGTCCTAACCTCAAGATAATATAAATAATAGCTGTAGTGCAATTAATTGTTTGTTAATTTACTTTGATTAATCTATAATATATTGATTTGAGTGAAAACATGTTAATTATTTTTGAGTTCAAAGAATAATCGACTGAATGGATATTCCCTAGCTATACTGGTTGTTGGAATTTAACCATAGCGAATTTTTAAGATATCTCAAAATTTGAATTAAGATGACTAAATTAGAAGAAAAACATAAACAAGAGGCCTGCGCGTTTCTGAGAGAACGATATTTATATTTGCTTTCACAATGTTATGGTAATTGCATTTTTTACCTTTTATCTTAATTAAATTTTAAAACTAATGTGGGACTATTTTGAAACTAATATCAAAGAATGTTAATATAGGGACAATATTATATTGTAGGGATTTGGGAAATTAATATTTTTTTATAATTTTGTCAATGTATTATTTTACATTTTTGTTTTATAGTCCAATAATTTAAATGTATGAGAAAAAACATCAGGAATGTCAAATTATATTGTTCATTTTTTAAACAAAAGATAACCTAACTATTTGATTTTAGATGGAAAAAAAGAATGCAAAATACATATGTATGAAAACACTCAAACTCAAGGGACAATAAAAGCAGTAGATTCCAATTTTGAAAATATTATGGTCAAGAATTTAAAGACTTATTATCCTCCACCAATTCAGAGTGCTGTTTTAAGAACTAGTGATATTATAACAATTTCTTTTAGATAAGTAATGTTACCTGGAATAAACAAACTTTTATATTATTATTTACATTTAGAAAAATATGAGAGTTTAACTAGATGTAAAAGTTTTTTTAGTATTCTATTTTGTAATTTCATCAATAAAGAATAACATATTTTTTTTAGTCAGATTTGACAATATTTTGTAATATTTATAATTATTATCTAATGATAATGCCTCATTGGATTAGAAAAACATTGTAAGCTAATGTTTTGACCCAGAATTTGCATGTATCTGTGATGCTGTCTTGGTGAATATGGCATGAATGGAAAGTATTACAAAATTCTCTACGGCAGGCAATGTGTTAAAGAAACAAGAAACACAACAATTGATGATATCGGAATAGCCCTAATATTCCTACAGAATCCCTATTATTAAACACTTACAAACTGCCTAAGTATTACAAACCGTCAAGTTTCAAATTACAAATAATAAGGAAATTCACTGATTATAAGAAGAGAAATCATACGTTTTCTACCTGGAGAAACCGAATTCAAATTTTTTTACCACTCTGATTTCTAAAACTTGCAAAGCAAACAGCTTGATAAATTACTCTGCAAGGGAATCTAAAAATTGCATTGCACCTGCCATTCATCATCATGGTCAAAATTCGTAGTGAATTCAGATTCACTGATAATAATTTAATAATTATTGTGGACAGCAATAAATATCTTTTTGCCTTTGGAGTTCCTCTATTGTTGAAGGTGTTTTGTGTATTACAGCAATATATTTCATTTACTGACTCTCAAAAGAGTATAGTGACATTATTTCTTGATACTTGGATTGTGGATTTCCATCCTTTTCTGTTTTGGATTAATAGGGAAGCTTTATGTATGGTCATGGCCAATAATTTCTTTGGACCTGATCCACCCAGCATGTGGGAGACCCTCCTCAAAATCTTCTGACATTAGATTTGGCTGCTCGCAACCTTCAAAGTCTGGCAGAGTTTCCTCCATCTGATGCCATTACTGAGGGTAAATTATTAGCAAGCATGAATGATCTTCAATCTAAATTCTCAGAAAAAAGACTAAGAAAAATGCTGGATGATCTGTGTGGAGATGAAGCTCTGTCAAGTGCTTTACTGTCATAGTGTTTTCTTTCATCTTGATTAGACCTTTCGGCATTTCCTAATTTCTATAGAACTTTGTAAGATGTGAATATTATTAGGATAGGTAATTACATATTACTTCCTTTCTTCTTGCATTCCTAGTGTCCTATAAGAGCATCAGATATATTACTTCTTTTGATAATTATAATCAGCTACCTTTATGTCAAAATATTAATTTATTATACCAATTTTAACAACCCCTCAAACCACTAAGTTCCTCCTCATATAAGACGGAAGTTGTAAGTAGTTTAAAACATCTTTTATACCCTTAATGTTTGTCAAGAATACACGTAAATAAAAGATAGATAGGATATACCAAGACCAAGATATTGTACATATTTTATGTATCCTTAGTCTTTATAGACAACAACATTGTTATTTATACCACAGAATAAATTGTTTATTATTCTGTGTTTATACTGTGGTACTACTTCAAAAGGCACGTTTTGAATTTGCCGCCAAATGTTTTAGTTAACTGCCCGACCAGTTATGGCGCTAGACACTTTTTCCTGAATTAGACTTAAACAGTTTGACAGTTATGTCCTGTAATTGTCGGCGACAGGGTAAATTATCAAGGAGTCCAAGTCCTTGTGGTACTTTTTCAATTTGGATGAAATCCTGTTAATTATTGTACTAATATTCATAAATTTTTGGATTTGAAGTTTTATACATAAACTACTTCAAAAGGCACGTTTTGAATTCGCCGCCAAATGTTTTAGTTAACTGCCCGACCAGTTATGGCGCTAGACACTCTTTCCTGAATTACACTTAGACAGTTTGACAGTTATGTCCTGTAATTGTCGGCGACAGGTGACAGCACGCGACAGGGTAAATTATCAAGGAGTCGAAGTCCTTGTGGTACTTTTTCAATTTGGATGAAATCCTGTTAATTATTGTACTAATATTCATAAATTTTTGGATTTGAAATTTTATACATAAACTGTATTATGTATAATATTGTGGTGGTGTGAATATATTTAAGAAAGGTAAGACATCAAATAAAACGGCAGATTTCAAGGGTCGATACCTTCAGCAATCAATAGGGTACTGAAACTGATTGCCTATTTATCTTTCTTTAGCCAGCCTATATTGTTCTGATTTATCAAACTGTATTTTTCCATTTTTGGATGTAATAATTACATTCCATCAATTAAAAGCAGTGAACTCTTCATTTTCCAAAGTCGGCCATCTTGTGTTGTGATATGTGGCGGTAAGGCGGTATATTTAAAACTACCTTTAGAATTTGTAGTAATACATAAGTTTAACGGTAAGTTCAGCAAAAAAATCCAGAAGGACGATTTTCGCATGAATACATTTTCTACAAATTGCATTCTTTTTACAGAAATCATACCTTTTTGAGATAGTTGACGTTTTGGAAACCCTCGTCAGTGTAGTGTTTTAAAAATGGAACCCTGTGCTCCAGGTACTGAAGATGATCCTCCGATCATGTTTTCGACACTAACAATGAAGGTAATTTAAATTTCTATAAAGATTTACATTGATTTTTTTTATTAATTTTAGTTTGTATTATAGGTAAGTAATATATTCCTTTATTTGATTTTTTAAACAAATCAACATGCAAATCACATAAGTTGATTTACAAACGTTTTAAAGAATGTTTAAAAATTTTAAACATTTCGGTATGTGTTCTGTAAATATTCATTGTGACAGTAAGTACCCAATTTAATGGACAGGTTTTTTACTGCCCATAGATGTATAGGCATCCATTCATGTTATTTCTAAATTAAATAAACACACTATTTTGAATTTATAGTTTTTATGTTTGTTTTTAATGCAAAGACAAAAATATTATTGTCATTGGCTATAATAGATTATATTAAGAGGTTAGTTTCTGCACAGTTAAATTTATTGTGAAACAAAGTTCAAACCGAGACAGGCAGCATAATGGATTTGGAAAAATCAAACCCATAGTGCATGCTGTGTTAACTACTAAAGTGATTGTATTGTGGGAAAACTAATTAGGTCTAAATAAATGTGAAGACATAGTAAAAGTACTTCAAAATTAAATATCTTTCACATGGTTCAATTTCTGTCCATAAGTTTCTAAAGTAGTAAGAAACATAGCAACTAGAAGACAGTCATGTCTTATCTCGTAGGAACAAAACAATGATCTATTATTGAATCATTCTATTTATCAGTTTTGCATAATTTTTTTTAAATGTTTTGGTTCATTCTGCGTCAGATGTTTATCAGATTAAACCAAAATAGTGTTACATAATATTATGGAAAATATGGATCTTTTTAAATCCAGTTCAAGGATCTGGATCACTTGAAAAACCCATGTTAGCAATCTGGGTCTTAGATAATTTGGAGCTTTACTGAGAACTACTGTCAAAAAATGGACTTTGTTAATAAAAACATGTAAATAAGACTTGTCAAATGTTACATCTTGTTGACATTATTGTAACAAGTTGAAATCTGTACGATCACTAAATATTAAATAAATTTCAAGCATTTGGAAGAGTATATTGAAGGCTGCTATGCATAAACTGGGCCAATAGAGTGACAAATGAAGAGGTATTACATCAAAAAAAGCAATCAGAAGTAGTGAAAATGTGAAAATTTGAGTATTTTGCTCATGTCAGAACATAAGACCTCCATCGTATAATCAAAGAAGAAAATCATGGCTGCGTAATTTATGTGAGTTGTTTAGTAAGTCTTAATCGTCACTTTTAAGCTACAGTGAAGAAAATTATGATGCTCAGTAATGGACATCATACAGAGAAAAGAAAGTGAGATTCTAGAACCATAGTGATTTCCCCAAACTAGTTAAATAATTTTCTATCCCATATAAACATGTAAGTTAACTTCATAAATGCTAATGAATTATTTTAGCAACTCAATCTCTGCTGCTAGGAGAATTTTAGTATTTACATGTAAGATTATTAGGATTCATTCTTATCATGTATTGGCATTGGCATTGGGAAATGCAGTACATATTGTTAATATGACATTAAATTGTCTTAAGGGGACATTGACTTTCTAAATTCAAAGCTTTTTTGCCCTCTTTTGATGTCTCACTTTTCTTCTATTGGCTTGAGCAATACAAGCTTTGTAGAAATTTTTAACCTACTCATTGCTATTTCTCTAATTCATTTCTATTTCGAATTTCTTAATAAAATTTTAGGACAATATTTCTGTGAACAAAAGAATGTTCTTTGTAAAAAAAAACAAAAATCGATTTTTGAAAATGTAGAAAGTAAAAGTCCACTTAATATACAGAAACGTATATAATCTAATTACAATTATTACATTTTTACCAAGTCACAAAAATTGAAGTCTGTATGTGTGTAGTTATATTCTAATGATTAGTGAGTAAAAAAGAAGTTCTAAATGTAGCTGCATTTTGTGGAGAATATAAAATAACAAAGAAAACTATGTTCTTAATTATAAACACAATATGTAATCATAGATAAACATTTTTAATTGCCTATTACTCATTGCAAATGATTAATTTTGTCACTGAATCAGAATCTTCGCACAAATTGTGGACACATGCATATCAGTACAGTCAAACTCATTTTAGTTTCTCCTAATTGTTTCGAACAAAAGCAGCATTTTTTAAAAATCGATAGTGTCCGCTGACAAGCGATAAGTATAACGTCAGTCATGTAATTAAAAAGGTTTTATACCAATATCAATTGATATCGGTATAACCAAAGTGAGGTTGTTACACAGCAAGTAGTGATAGTGAAAGGAGAACTTGCAAATTATACTATTAGACAGCTTGATAACAGATGTAATAAGCAGATAGTTTTGGAAGGCCATGGGTGTAAAAATAGGAAGAAAGACTTGGTTCATATGGAGCTATAGTCTTAAGAAACTACAACAAGATGATTAACACCAGCACTGGATAGACACATGTGGATGCCCTTGTTCAAAATCTGAATGGTTCAGTTCTTCTCGACCATCAGTATGAAGAAAAAATAATCTGACTTGACAATGACAAGTGTGACCTTGCCGAAATGTCGTCAAAACAATGGTTTTTATAAAAAACCAAAATTATTCAATGCAGAGTCAAACCTGGAAACCACAGAAATCACATATAACTCCAATAAATTCATTGGCTAAAATGTTATTGGATGAGTTACATGTTGAACAATAATTCAAGATTCAAACTTACAAATGACCATATGGTCATTAAGATTATTGGGATTATGGCCATAAGGGTGGAATTTCTGTAGGTAAAAAAGCCTTTAATGAACAAATATTGTTCCATGTTAACTAATAGTAAAATTTTTGGTACTTTTCTATGAAAAAAAAAACATATTACAAAAAGTTACACATTGTACCTAATTGTGTGGTCTTATATTAAATTATGAGAGATTTTTAAATTGTTTGTAAAAGTAGTTTGTGATTTAATTGTTAAACGATTGTTTTAAAAGAAAAAAAATTAATGCCAGTTAACATGGATCAATATTTGTTCATCAAAGGATTTTTTACATACAGAAATTCCACCCTTATAGCAATGATTTCACTTTTGTAAGTTTTAGTCTATAATTATTGTTTGATATGTAACTCAAACAATAAAATTCTAGCTATCACTAATGACTGTGTAAAGTATACCGAAATAAATCTGATTAAAAAAAAAATAAGACTACACTTGGCTTTATTTAATTCAGCTGCTGACTCATTAATTGCCTTCTTATATAATATATAAACTGTAATTTAACTGTAATAAAAATATTTTTATTTAACATTCATCATTGATGCTTGATAAAAGTTGAGGTTGTAAGTAAGAGTATTAGGGTAATATTTCAGACGGACACCTAAATAGCCAGTTTATTAGTTTTGTCATTTCATTAACCAAAAAAGTCAACATTCTCAGGTTTCTCCACGGTAACATGTACATCTGATATTCTTCATAGAACTATGATACTACTGTTATAAGAAGCTTTAAAGTACGGATTTTACCAATTTTATTAATATATTGTAGAATTTAGATAAGTAAAACAATATGAGTTGTTATAAATATCATTTACGGTCAAAAGGGATACAAATATATAAAAAATAGTACGAAAACTTGTCAATTTTTTAAAAGATATTCTGTTTATTGGGGGCATAATGAATTCATTATGCTCTCTGTGCCTTTCGATTTTATACTATATCGATATGCTGATAAATGAACAGCATATTTTTGGTTTCTTTTTCGCACTTCAAAGAGCAATACAATGTGTCAACATTGTAGTGCTGTAAGTTGAGTGTAGGTAGAATTGTTAAGTGCAAACAGATGTTACCCTACAGTTTAATTTTAGCGAATCATGTAAAATGATACAACTATTTCAGTTTTAAATTAGATACAGAACACTATATTAGACTGGTTTGTTACATTTACAATGATATTGTAACAGTACAGCTTAATTTGCATAAAAGATAAAAGTACTAAAGATTTGAAACTCATATTGTATTTCCTTGTAGTGAAACACATATGCAACTATGTGTGGGTATACTGATTTTATTATAATTTTTTAATCATATTATATTTACGAATGTGTATTACACTATTTACGGTGCGCAACCAAATTTCGTGGTTTTTGAATAAATACATTTAAGGAGTCAGGGGGAAAACAATCATAGAATACATATTACCTTCGGATGGTACAGAGTAAAAGGGAAAACATTTACAGTCCTTTTATTACAAATGTTAAATGAAACTGTGTACTGGGGAAGAACCATCATAGTCCGCACGCCGCGAGGGAATAAATGTTAGGGTCCGAAGGAGCCCCCTTTCTGTCTCAACAGGTCGGGTGGGTTGCAGCATTTCTGTGATTCTCGTTCTTATTTTAGCGACTTAGTTGGTGTGTTTTAGTTTGCCAGTTAATTCTATTTGAACAATAGTAAAGTAGTGAGTAAAATGGAAAGTACTGGTAGTGATGTAGATATGGGGACTGCTGCTCAAAATGAAGAAAAACAGGCCGTGTTTGTGACTTATGAAACTTCTGAGAGCCACCGCTCATAAGGTAGGACCAGATTGCATGTGTCACCGTTTTCGTTGTTTTGGGAACGTCAATGAAGCCGAAAAGCGACGCATTTTGACTCAATTCAATGAACTTGCTAAGACGATCAAAATTGGTATTTAGGTGGTCTGATAACCGTTCTCCCAGTTATGCGTCGACGAATTCGAGTAGGTAGATTGACACCTAATCTTGCTTCTTATTCCTATCGTGTTGGGAGTGGCCCTGATGGAGACTTTCGTGATATGCAAGTATGCTTCAAAGCATTCTTATCCATTCATGGAATTTCTGCTTTCCGAGTGCAAAGAATTCGAGAATATCTGGCCTTAACGGGCATTGTACCAATAGACGCTAGAGTAAAACAGGAAAATAGGCCCCACAAATTTTCTGAAGATACTATCGTATAGAGAAAAAGTATAACGCAAATCATTTAATTAAAAAGGTTTTATACCAATATCAATTGATATTGGTATAACCAAAGTGAGGTTGTTACAC